CATACGGTGTCGTCTCAACGAAATTATGTGGTGCCCTATTTAAAGTGAATGTGGTTGTCTCTAATGCCTAACCCATGAACAATAGTGGTAACTCAATAAGAGACATCATGGTATGCACCATATCCAATAGGGTGCAACTATGACGTTTGGACACACCATCACACTATGGTGTTCCAGGCTGTATCAGTTGTGAAACAATTTCCACAATGTCTTAATTCTGTGCCAAACTCGTGATTCAGATATTCATCTCTATGATCATATCATAGATCTTTTATCCTCTTGTCACGACGATCTTTCAACTTCACACTGAAATTACTTGAACCTTTCAATAATTCAGACTCGTGATTCATCAAGTAAATATACTCAACATCTACTCGAATCATCTGTGAAGTAAGAACATAACGATATTCACTGCATGCCTCAGCACTCATTGGACTGCACACATCAAAATGTGTTACTTCCAACAAGTTGCTATCTTGTTCCATCTTACTGAAAACGAGGCTTTTCAGTCATCTTGCCCATGTGGTATGATTTGCATGTCCCAAGTGATTCAAAATCAAGTGAGTAAAAACGGTCCATTTGCATGGAGTTTCTTCATGCATATACACCAATAGACATGGTTCGCATGTCTCAAACTTTTCAAAAACGAGTGAGCCCAAAGATCCATCAATATGGAGCTTCTTCATGCGTTTTATACCGATATGACTTACGTGGCAGTGCCACAAGTAGGTGGTACTATCATTACTATCTTTTGGCATGAACATGTGTATCACTACGATCGAGATTTAATAAACCATTCATTTTAGGTGTAAGACCATTGAAGGTATTATTCAAATAAAGAGAGTAACCATTATTCTCCTTAAATGAATAACCGTATTGCGATAGACGTAATCCAATCATGTCTATGCTCAACGCAAACACCAAATAACAATTATTTAGGTTTAACACCAATCTCTTTGGTAGAGGGAGTGTGCGATGCTTGATCAGATCAAGCTTGGAAAAACTTCCAACACATATCGTCAGCTCACCTTTAGCTAGTCTCCGTTTATTCCGTAGCCTTTTGTTTCGAGTTACTAACACTTAGCAACCGAACCGGTATCTAATACCCTGGTGCTACTAGGAGTACTAGCAAAGTACACATTAACACAATGTATATCCAATATACTTCTATCGACCTTGCCAGCCTTCTTATCTACCAAGTATCTAGGGTAATTCTGCTCTAGTGGTTGTTCCCCTTATTACAGAAGCACTTAGTCTCGGGTTTGGGTTTTACCTTGGGTTTCTTCACTAGAGCAGCAGCTGATTTGCCGTTTCATGAAGTATCCCTTCTTGCCCTTGCCCTTCTTGAAACTAGTGGTTTCACCAACCATCAACAATTGATGCTCCTTCTTGATTTCTACTTTCGCGGTGTCAAACATCGCGAATACCTCAAGGATCATCATATCTATCCCTGATATGTTATAGTTCATCACGAAGCTCTAACATCTTGGTGGCAATGACTTTGGAGAACCATCACTGTCTTATCTGGAAGATCAACTCCCACTCGATTCAAATGATTGTTGTACTCAGACAATCTGAGCACAAGCTCAACAATTGAGCTTTTCTCCTTAGTTTGCAGGTTAAGAAAGTCATCGGAGGTCTTATACCTCTTGACATGGGCACGAGCCTGAAATCCCAATTTCAGCCCTCAAAACATCTCATATGTTTCGCGATGTTTCAAAAACGTCTTTGGTGCCTCAACTCTAAACCGTTTAACTGAACTATCACGTAGTTATCAAAACGTGTATGTCAAATGTTCGCAACAACCACAGACAACGTTCGAGGTTCAGCACACTGAGCGGTGCATTAAGGACATAAGCCTTCTATGAAGCAATGAGGACAATCCTCAGTTTACGGACCTAGTCCGCATAATTGCTACTATCAACTTTCAACTAATTTTTCTCTAGGAACATATCTAAACAGTAGAACTATAGCGTGAGCTACGACATAATTTGCAAAAACCTTTTGACTATGTTCAGGATAATTAAGTTCATCTTATGAACTCCCACTCAGATAGACATCCCTCTAGTCATCTAAGTGATTACATGATCCGAGTCAAACTAGGCCGTGTCCGATCATCATGTGAGACGGACTAGTCATCATCGGTGAACATCTTCATGTTGATCGTATCTTCTATACGACTCATGTTCGACCTTTCGGTCTCCGTGTTCCGAGGCCATGTCTGTACATGCTAGGCTCGTCAAGTTAAACCTAAGTGTTTCGCGTGTGTAAATCTGTCTTACACCCGTTGTATGTGAACGTTAGAATCTAACACCCGATCATCACGTGGTGCTTCGAAACACGAACTGTCGCAACGGTGCACAGTTAGGGGAGAACACTTCTTGAAATTGTTGTAAGGGATCATCTTATTTACTACCGTCGTTCTAAGCAAATAAGATGTATAAACATGATAAACATCATATGCAATCAAATAGTGACATGGTATGGCCATCATCACTTTGCTCCTTTTGATCTCCATCTTCGGGGCTCCATGATCATCATCGTCACCGGCATGACACCATGATCTCCATCATCATGATCTCCATCATCGTGTCTTCATGAAGTTGCCTCGCCAACTATTACTTCTACTACTATGGCTAACGGTTAGCAATAAAGTAAAGTAATTACATGACGTTTAAGTTGACACGCAGGTCACAAATAAATAAAGACAACTCCTATGGCTCCTGCCGGTTGTCATACTCATCGACATGCAAGTCGTGATTCCTATTACAAGAACATGATCAATCTCATACATCACATATATCATTCATCACATCCTTTTTGGCCATATCACATCACATAGCATACCCTGCAAAAACAAGTTAGACGTCCTCTAATTGTTGTTTGCATGTTTTACGTGGCTGCTATGGGTTTCTAGCAAGAACGTTTCTTACCTACGCATGAACCACAATGTGATATGCCAATTGCTATTTACCCTTCATAAGGACCCTTTTCATCGAATCCGATCCGACTAAAGTGGGAGAGACAGACACCCGCCAGCCACCTTATGCAACTAGTGCATGTTTGTCGGTGGAACCGGTCTCACGTAAGCGTACGTGTAAGGTTGGTCCGGGCCGCTTCATCCCATGATGCCGCCGAATCAAGATAATACTAGTAACGGCAAGCATATTGAACAATATCGACGCCCACAACTACTTTGTGTTCTACTCGTGCAAAGAATCTACGCAATAGACCTAGCTCATGATGCCACTGTTGGGGAACGTAGCAGAAATTCAAAATTTTCCTACGTGTCACCAAGATCTATCTATGGAGAGACTAGCAACGAGGGGAAGGAGAGTGCATCTACATACCCTTGTAGATCGCTAAGCGGAAGCGTTCAAGTGAACGGGGTTGATGGAGTCGTACTCGTCGTGATTCAGATCACCGATGATCCTAGTGCCGAACGGACGGCACCTCCGCGTTCAACACACGTACAGCTCGACGATGTCTCCCACGCCTTGATCCAGCAAGGAGAGAGGGAGAGGTTGAGGAAGACTCCATCCAGCAGCAGCACAACGGCGTGGTGGTGATGGAGGAGCGTGGCAATCCTGCAGGGCTTCACCAAGCACCTACGGGAGAGGAGGAGGTGTCACGGGAGGGAGGGAGGCGCCAAGGGCTCAGGTATGGATGCCCTCCCTCCCCTCCACTATATATAGGGGCAGGGGAGAGGGGGGAGGCACAGCCTTGCCCCTTCCTCCAAGGAAGGGGTGCGGCTAAGAGGGGGGAGGAGTCCATCCTCCCCAAGGCACCTCGGAGGTGCCTTCCCCTTTTAGGACTCTCCCCTTTTTCCTATATCTTGGCGCATGGGCCTCTAGGGGCTGGTGCCCTTGGCCCATGTAGGCCAAGGCGCACCCCCTACAGCCCATGTGGCCCCCCGGGGCAGGTGGCCCCACCCGGTGGGCCCCCGGGACCCTTCCGGTGGTCCCGGTACAATACCGATGACCCCGAAACTTGTCCCGATGGCCGAAACAGGACTTCCTATATATAAATCTTTACCTCCGAACCATTCCGGAACTCCTCGTGACGTCCGGGATCTCATCCGGGACTCCGAACAACATTCGGTAACCACATACAAACTTCCTTTATAACCCTAGCGTCATCGAACCTTAAGTGTGTAGACCCTACGGGTTCGGGAGACATGCAGACATGACCGAGATGTTCTTCGGTCAATAACCAACAGCGGGATCTGGATACCCATGTTGGCTCCCACATGTTCCACGATGATCTCATCGGATGAACCACGATGTCAAGGACTCAATCGATCCCGTATACAATTCCCTTTGTCTAGCGGTATGGTACTTGCCCGAGATTCGATCGTCGGTATACTGATACCTTGTTCAATCTTGTTACCGGCAAGTCTCTTTACTCGTTCCGTAACACATCATCCCGTGATCAACCCCTTGGTCACATTGTGCACATCATGATGATGTCCTACCGAGTGGGCCCAGAGATACCTCTCCGTTTACATGGAGTGACAAATCCCAATCTCGATTCGTGCCAACCCAACAGACACTTTCAGAGATACCCGTAGTGTACCTTTATAGCCACCCAGTTACGTTGTGACGTTTGGCACACCCAAAGCACTCCTACGGTATCCGGGAGTTGCACAATCTCATGGTCTAAGGAAATGATACTTGACATTAGAAAAGCTTTAGCATACGAACTACATGATCTTGTGCTAGGCTTAGGATTGGGTCTTGTCCATCACATCATTCTCCTAATGATGTGATCCCGTTATCAACGACATCCAATGTCCATGGTCAGGAAACCGTAACCATCTATTGATTAACGAGCTAGTCAACTAGAGGCTTACTAGGGACATGGTGTTGTCTATGTATCCACACATGTATCTGAGTTTTCTATCAATACAATTCTAGCATGGATAATAAACGATTATCATGAACAAGGAAATATAATAATAATCAATTTATTATTGCCTCTAGGGCATATTTCCAACAGAGGGTTGTGCTGCTATTCAGTCCTGCAATATGCCATGAGGAGATTAAAAGGTTACATATTTGTTCTTATGGTGCTACTTTAATTTTGAACTGTAGAAGACTAAAATTTATCATAAATGACTAGCTCACCAAAATCTCCCGGCATATCTAAAAATGCAAGGAAGGGTTTGTAGTATTCGGCGGCAATGATCTTAGTATGTGGGTACTTGTACCGGAGCATCTTGATCTGTTGACGAAGGAGAGAGTTGTGGTAGCGGCCCAACCTGTTAACACTCTTCAGGCATCCGTGCCGATCATACTCCACCTTGTTTGGGCTAGCGAGCTTTGTGAGCGCTGCTGGTAGGCAGCCAATCGGGAAGATGTCTGCCACAACGATGTACTTGGCGCCATGTTGAACTAGTCTCTACAGAGGATTGTCAAAGTCTCGGTTTATATATATTGACGAATGCAGTGCTTGGATCCAAATGATTTATAATATACATCGTAGCAAATATTCCTCCGTTTCAAAATAGTACTTGAAGGTTTAGATCCGTGCTAAATTAAACATCTTTAAGTCCGACCAAGTCCATACAAAAATACACCAATATCTACAACATCATGTTAGTTTTTCATTAGATTCATCACTAGATATACTTTAATATTGTAAGAAGAAGTCAATAGTCCATCGATCTTAGCCACATAATCAAGAACAAAATTTCAAAATGATTTGGATATGTTAACGGCCGGCGTGATGCAATCATGCAACCAGTATATATATGTCTATAAGATAAAGTTGGAGAATACAAAAAGTCAAAAGGGAACATAGTACCTCTAGGCCTCTGGAAATGCTGTCGACAATTTGAGGAACATAAGGTCTGGCTTGTTCAACGGTTCTGTTGGACAGAAGGAAGCTTATGTAGTCATTTCCTCCAAACTCTCCCATGACAAACAGGGAGCTCCCAAAGCAGTCAGTACCTTGCCCTGCACACGGCATCCATGTATGCATGAGGAGGTAAATTACATAGGCGTAATCACTTTCCTTTGTGAAGAGCACCTACCATTGCAGAGCGAAGGCTTGAGTTTCTGGAACCACACGAGCTGGTCGTGGAGGGAGCTGTTAATAGGAGGATTCACTGTCAAGTTCAGTCCCTGCAGGTACGTCAAGTTCAGAGCCGGCGCTCCTACCACGGCGAAGTTCACTCCGGCGGAGAAGTTGCTTCCCCTGGCGAGGTACGGCGGCATAGAAGGCAGACCCAAAGCCTCGGCTGAACAATGAAGTTTATTGGTCAGAATCAGCAAAAGATTGACTTGTAGACAGGAGTAGTTGACAAAGTCTGGCAGTGCATTTGTAGTTACCGATGAAGTCCAGCACCAGCCGGCCGTCGGTGGCACGCCCGGTGGGGTGGCCGAAGAAGGTCTCGCCGTAGGGGAGGTTCTTGAGTAGTAGACCCGGAAGGACGGGATCAGCCCACATGACCAAGTTACCCGTGTCGGCGTAGGAGTCCCCAAAGCTGATTATGGAGGTGAAGCGGCTCCAGCCGCCGCCGGAGTAAGCACCGCGGAGGCACGCCACAATGAAGAGCAAGAGGAGCGCTCCATGAGGTGTTCTCATACTTGGTTGCTTGCTGCTTGTCAGTTGGGGCTTCCATGCTTGGTCTCCAGACGCTATATAAAGCAGGCATACCGAGCTAAACAAGGCAAAGGGAAGGTTATTAATTAAAAAGGCATATATTATGATGATTTTCCAGTCAACCAAATGTTTGTTTAGTGGGCGTTTCTTTGACGAATTTAAATGTACATCTTCTTACTAACTAACTCATCAACTTGGCACTCTTATTTACTTAAGAAAATTAGCCTTGCAGACTGTGATACATGACTATTGACTAAGCAGGAAAATTCTCTCTTTGATTAACACAAATGTCACCCCTTTTGGAAAAAAAGTAGCTTTTCGCATTATTACGTAACTAGTGACATCTTATCAAAAAATTAGAAGTATACTAAAGTGAGGTGTCATGGAAATTTACACAAGTGGACTATTTCAGAAGTCGACTTGCTCAGCAAGAGAAAAAAAAACAGGCTACCTTTTTTTTGGAATAAAGACACCCAAAGGGCATGTTAAATTTGAGTAATATCAAGGGAAATAAGAGCCAGTACATGGGTAGACAACTCAACGCAGAACGGCCAAATAAGAAATAAAATTATATTGAGAATCATACTAGGCTTTTTGTTTGTCCGATTGTATGCGGCTCGTTAGAGATAAAAAAAATTACACTAAACTAATAGTAAAGGAAAGTGACACTTGCAAACATCCATGACATGCCAGGCTTTGGCTGACTTTGATGAGAAGTGGAACTGTCATTGGCGTCTGCCTGTATGTCTTATAATAGATGCGGGATACAATAAAACGTGCTAATTTGCTATAGGTGGGCCCACACCAACTTGATAGTGATTAACATGACTGATTCAACAACCTCTTTTGTTTTTTGTTTGGTCTTTGAACTTGAGTTGTTCCAAACATCTACTTATTGTTTATATCTAGTGGGGCTGGTTATGTTACTACCACTCACTATATCCGCCAGCTCTCTCTCTCTCTCTCTCTCTCTCTGAGAACAAATTTAACAATCTAACTAATTTCATTGTAGTTTTAGTCTTTCTTGGAAACTGGTAATTAGCTTGTTTGCATTATTACGAAACTAATGACACCTTACTGAATTTCAAAATATAAAGTGGATTATCATTGAAAATTACAACTAGGAGTGGACTAGTTCATAAGTCTTAACTTGCTCAGCAAAAAATAGAACCAGGGTTCGCTTCTATGAGAAGGGGAAACTGTTGTTATTGTGTACATCTCAAATGTAAAATACGATAAAATGTGTTAACTTGCCACAATTTAAAGTTCATGTGACAGTTATATTCCAACCCCGCACCAACTATTTTTTTTAGTTGCCACACCAACTTGATAGTTATATTATTAACACGACTGATGCATGCATCCTATTTTGTTTAGTCCTTGAAAGTGAGTTGTTTTTCCCAATTGCTTATTGTAAATGTCAAGTTGCCTTGTTGGTAACGATTGTTTCTTATTTATGCCATGTTTGATTGGATATTTTGGCGGCCACTATGTGTATTGTTTTAATTTGTAAACCATTAGTTTTTTCTTAGTGTGGGTTCGAACGTAAAGGTAGTATTTCTTTATGCTCCACTGGTTGGTCTATGTGTGTGTTCATTTGTATGTGATTCCCCTTTTGTTGTTATCTACTATCAACAGAGAAAAATAAGCTAATGTCGCACTCTTGTCGGAATGTCCCATGAAATTCCACCCGCTAAGTTTATAGATCGAGGATGCTAGCTCTCGATCTTCTATCCCCTGGTGTACGGGATAAGAAAACTAGGGCGAATATGGAAGACTATAGGAATGAGTCCGGGTTCGAAACGGTCGTGGAGAGTTCATTTTACTAATCCTAGAGTGAGAGTCCGAACAAGATTGCGTCCGACTTAGACTCCAAGGTTGGGTCCATATATAAAAGGCAAGGTCTTGAGTTTTAATCGTTTCTCGAGCAAGAAAAGTTTCACCATCTGTTTGACACGCTCTACATCACCGTCGAGAACCACATATCGATTAAGGAACTTTCTTGTCCAGGGTTTATGTCTATAGAAATCAAACACTCTGGTAATCTATTATCAAGATAAAAAAGACACTGATAAAGGAAGTAAGTAGGGTAGTTACACACCTTGGGAAATGAACCTAGGCAATTTTGTCTCTCGGCACAATCCTTGTGTCGCTTCCACCCGCACGTCCTGGAGTACAAATAACCCATATATATTATTCATGAATTTCATGCATCGACGATTGGTGCCCAATGTTGTGCGATATGTTGATCTCGTATCAACAATCTCATGGAATGGTTCTATGATAATACTCAAGAAGGATACATTGATTTCTAACAAAGCAAACTTGGTAGTCAAGCATTCAAAGGTGAAAACATCGTAGTAACCAGTGAACCTATGAACAATGGTCAAATTTCCCAAGTACTCCCTCCGTCCCATAATGTAAGACGTTTTTTGACACTACGCTAGTGTCAAAAATGTCCTATATTATGGGACGGATGGAGTAACAAATAATTTCGTTGCAATTCTTTTAGTTATTATTTATTCTAAAATACAAAGAAAAAAACTTTATCTATCGTTATATACTCGCATCTTGTGGAAACTAAGAAGAGTAGTGTGATTGACACCCAAACTAGAATTGTTGGGGACACACGACAATTTATTGATTTGTTTTTGTGGTGCCGAGTAGGACATTCCTTGCCATACCTCTCACACATAGATAACCTTCACTTAAGGAAAAATTGTCACTTGCTATAAACTTTTGCGATTGGGTGCTCAACATCCTCCTCTCCGATACAGATAAAAGTAAATAGGCTTTCTTTTATCAGTAGACTTTCCCATGAAGGTAAACATGACGAATTGCTTCAAGCATTATTTATGTGTTGGGATGACAGTTTTTGTGCAATTAATATCTATAGGGAGATTAATGGCAAGTGAACTTTTAATAAGGCGGCGGAGGATACCCGATCTTACATGCACAAATTTCATGAAGATGAGGGACCTTAGCCAATGTAGGTTGTAATATTTTTAGCTATTCGAGAGAATTTTCTGTGATCATAGCGATGTTATTTGTGATGGTGTGGAGCATAGAATGCATAGAATTTTGACTTTTGAGGACAGAAAGGATGTCAATATCATTGGTATATTGGGTCTGAGGCACCGCGGTGACAAAACTACCTTTTACCTTTATATCACCTTGACGCAGGAGCCACGAAGACCCATTCAATTTACGGGACATCTAAGGGGAGGCTCCAGTTATCATCGTATGCCAAAAAACTATTTATCGAGATGGTAGTGGTTGTGAGTGATATATTTCTAATACATTAGAGCATATATTGATATGGCTCCATTCTCATGTATAAATATGTATAATGTAGAATAAATCTCATTTACTATCACATTTTATTATAGGGGATACTATTCACCCCAGAAACAC